TGGAAAGATATATATATATATAAAGTTTCTCAAGAAATGTTCATTTATTCAGTGATCATTCTGCTTGCCACTCAACCCAATGAACAACATTGGAAGTACATCTTATAAAATCTAGTAGGCTAGAAGGGAAAACTGCTAAGAGATCTGATTTTATTGACGAGAACAGACTTTATCATGATCTTCCAGAATACGAGCCTTCATACAGATAGACGCTTGTTCTCTAGTAATTACATTAAAAGACCAAAAGTAATGAAATTTGAGATGAGGTAGTGCTTCATGATGTTGGAGTGGGTTACCAAGGGCAAAAAATATTTGTTCTGGAGAGCTGTAAGAATAGATCCTGCTCCCATTAGACTGTCATTTTATATATAACACCTTTTAGTAATATAAGAAAACATTTACCAATCTTTAAATTCTATTCAAGGACATAAGTGGATGGAGTTAATGAAGGAAGGGGGAAAGAAGGAAAGAGTAGTTCTGTGTAAAGATGTAAATGATAATAAAAACCAAGAATCCTGAAAGGCAATTAGTTTCCATTTTTGTATTAATATCTAATCAGGGAGAGCTACATTTTAAAGAGTTTTGTCTGAGATGTTGGAAACAAAGTGCCTAATAAAATTTCTAATTACTATAGAGTTTGCTTATTTTTCTCTCCTGTTCTTTCCTTGTGTGTTACATGGGCCCGCCCTTTACATAAAGTAGCTATAGTTTTATATATCTTCTTAAAGAAAATTTTTCTCACAGAGTTATTTTTCCCCATTTTCTTATATAATATTAGTAGAAAATTCCACTATTAAAAGAAATTGTGCCATAGGTGTATAAGTAACCAATACTAAAGAGGATGCAGGTGATCTCAACCAGGGTATCTGCTTAGGAAAGGTGGTATTATGTTTTATAGCTTTTAAAAGTTGTTTATGTACTTAATATTAATTCTATGAAAAATGTGAAAAAATAGCTTTGGAATTACAAATTTTTGGACTTATTAGCAATTTAATTTCATGCAGTTCTATTAAAAATTGATGAATATATAATTATGGTCTGGAGCTGCACTTGCGTCTTACAGGAAGGAGCTATGAAGACAGAGGAAGACCTGGCTTGGCCCTTGAAGCATAATCTCACACTTCTGAAAAATGCAGTTTGGCAGCGCAGTTGAGAAGACTGCCCTTTTGTAATAGGAGGAAGGGGAACTCTTATCATTTTACTGGTCAAAAAGTCTAACTACAATGCAAGATTGAGTAATTGAAATATTAATATTTAAAGTTAATTTCAACCTACTCAACTTTGTAATTTGTACCCAAAGCCTCAAATAACCCCAAAATCCTTTTATTTTTATGGGTTCTTTATAACTTGGCAGAGATTTTATATAAGTATCTTTTGAGCATAGCAGCATGACTGTATATCGACATTCTCTATTCTTTGATATGAAAAGTCCAAGATACATACTTAAATGAAAAAAGCAAGGAAAAACTGCATTGCTTGTACTAACATGAAAACTTTGAAAAGATGCTAAAAAATAATGATACTGGCTTCATAATATTACTATCCAAATGTTGGAAGGAAAGCGCCATATAGGACTTTTTAGAGAATTGTTGTGTAACTATATAGTGGTATTTTATTTGGTCATTAAAAAGGATATGAAAAATAACTTTGAAGAATATATATATGTTGCTAAGTGAAGAAAACAATAGGCTAGAAACCAGTTTGTATGTTATGAGCTATAGTTTATAAAAATGTATCTTTGTGTGTGTGTTTGTGTGTGTGTGTGTCTGTGTGCGCGCGCGCATGCGTGTCCAGAAGAGAAGATGTAGCAAGTTATTTCTGTGATTTTGCATGTATTTACATGGATGATGCTTTCCAAATTTCAACACCTAGAGCTATAGTTTATAAAAATGTATCTTTGTGTGTGTGTTTGTGTGTGTGTGTCTGTGTGCGCGCGCGCATGCGTGTCCAGAAGAGCAAATGTAGCAAGTTATTTCTGTGATTTTGCATGTATTTACATGGATGACGCTTTCCAAATTTCAACACCTGAAATTACTGATAAAATAATAAAGTCATGTTTAGTTTTATCACTTTGCTGGTGTGGTTGCCTGGAGAAGGTATTATTTTTTCTGTTCTAAGGATATCATAGTACCTAGCATGCAGTAGGTGGTTTTCACCAATTAGACTGAATATCTCTAGAAAATTCCTCCTGGTCTATGCTAAGTGACTTGCAATTAGGAAACTTCAAAGGATTATCTTATTTCAGGAACCTGTTATGGAGCCTACACCATGGGTACCCTTGAGTAAAAGCATCTTATGACGTCTCACAAGTTCTGGGGCTTTTTCAGTTTTCTCCCAACCACAACTGAATTGTTCTGTAACACAGGATGGCATATCCTCTCTAGTATCTCTTCTTGCCTCTCTCTGGTGCTGAGTTTTTTTTTTTTTTTTGGTCTTTTTGAGACAGGGTCTCCCTGTAGCCCCAGCTGTCCTGGAACTCACTATGTAGACCAGGCTGGCCTAGAACTCACAGAGATCCGCCTGCCTCTGCCTCCCGAGTGTTGGGACTACAGGCATGTCGCCATGCCCGGCTGGTGCTGAGTTTTATAAAAAGCTTAGACTTAATACTTGAGTATCAGATGTATATAATAAGCAATTCACTTATGTTTCCACTAATTTTTAAACAAGTTGCAAAGCCTGCAGTTATGTCATCGTGTTGGGATTTGGGGCGTTATCAGCTGAATGTAAGTAATTGAAGACACATACATTCACAAAGTTGACCCTCCTTATCTGTGGAGTCTATGGCCTTGCACTCAATTGAAGATCAAAAAAATTTTTTTAAATTTTTATCTAAAAGAAATTGTGTCTGTATTGATATATATTTTTAGCTATTATTAATACTATAGTATAAGTAAATATCATTTACACTGCATGAGATATTGTAACTTATCTAGAGAAAAATTTAAATGTATGGGAGGCATAAACAGGTTACATGCAAACACTGTGCTCTTTAATATAATGAACTTAAGCATCTGTGTATCTTTTTATTCATATGGGGCTCTTGTACCACTCTTCCAAGGATACTAAGGAATACCTGTATTTTGATTTTTTTAGGAAAATCGATTTTTGTTCTGCAAGTTACATTTATTTGTTTTTTGAATATATGATTTTAGAATTTTTTATTTAAAATTTATTTATTTATTTATTTATTTTATATCACACAGAGCATCCCAAACCATCTTATTCACCCATTTCCCAGATGGCACCCTCCCATAGCCTCCCTCCCCCCACTAGAGCCCTTGCAAGTTACATTTATAATAACTATGCTGAATATTTAATTTGTTGTATATTTAGTTCATTCATAGTGAGCTCTGGTAAGATCAGTGCTGTTCCTTCCTTTGCTATTTCTTTTTCTTCTATTAGATGGTATAGTGGTTAAGAGCACTTCCTCTGCAAGCATGAGGATGTGAGTTCGCATCCCCAGTACCCACATGTTAAAAAAAAAATCAACATAAAACTGAGCATGGCTTTGCCTATAACCACCTCAGCAGTGAGGGGCTGAGATAGTGGGATCCCTAGAGCTCACTGGCAAGCCAGTCTAGCCCAAACCGTGAGCTTTGGTTCTGTGAGAAACCCTATCTCAAGGCAATAAAGCAAGGAGTGACAGAGGAAGACATCTGACGTCCTTTATGACCTTCATATGTACACGCACACCTTCAGGCACCCACACACTAATGTGCATGCATATATAGATGTACTACACTCACACCAAAGACCACACATAGAAGATATCCTTTGACCTCCAGCTTTTCTTGCTAAGGCAATCTACAAATTTTCTTTATCCTCCACATTTATGCCATTTCTTGTTTGTATACTTAGGTTTTACCTATAACTTCTCTTATTGTGAGGATATGTAGCATATTTAAGATATTTTCTTCAACTTTAATTCTCCTATTTTAATTTCAGGTCAAATCTTTGTTCACTGATAGTTCTTTCGGTTCATTTTCTAAATTATCATAAACTCCAGGAAAGGCTGTTGGAATCATTTTATTGAATATACATTTTTAGCCTAATCTCTCCTTTTAAAGATTAAGCTAACACTGAATCTACCTTGTAGGGTTATTGCAATAAATAAGTTCATATAGTGCATAGGCAGCATCTAACTCAGACAGAGAACTCAACAAATTTTCCCTGTCACCAATCTTCTCATGCCTGAAAACCCATCCCATGTTTCTCAGGAACAGCTCTTCTCTGTGAACCTTGATGATGATTGTATCACTTCTCACATATTGTCATTGTCTGTTTTATTTACTTTTTATCTTCTGTGCACAGCAGAGTTCCAGGATCAGGATGTATTTAAAACATCTTTAATCAAATGAATTAATGGAAGCTTTACAAATCAGGAGACCTCTGTTTAGAATAATTGGAGACAATCAGAGTAATTTGATCAAATACCTTAATAATGATGTTTTTGCTTGTAGACATCACTCCTAATGATGATTATGGGAGAACTGGAAGCTTCAGAGGGTATAATTAAGCACAGTGGAAGAATTTCATTCTGCTCTCAATTTTCCTGGATTATGCCAGGAACCGTCAGAGACAATATCATCTTTGGTGTTTCCTATGATGACTATAGATACAAGAGTGTCATCAAAGCTTGCCAACTACAGGAGGTAAGCAAAGTTGTGAAACAATTGATGATTATATTGACAAAATACCTGAAAAAGAAGCTTGAAGAAGATTTGTTAATTATTTTGGATTACTGGTCTAGAGGGATTCTGTCCATTGTGGTGGGGAAGGCATGGCAACAGGAACAGAAAGATGACTGGTTCCATTGTATTGACAGTCAGGAAGCTGAGAGAATAGGAGATGGGGCAGGGTTATAAAGCCTCAAGGCCTGACCCCAGTGACCCACTTCCTCTCGTAAAGCTCCATCTCTTAAAGGTTCTGTAATCTTCCCCAATTAAACACTAATGAGGACCAAGTTTCAAGTACATGAATATCAACTGGGGACCAAGTATTCAAACACATGAACCTAAGTTCAAACCACAACACTGGTTATGCATGTGCAACCTTCAGACTACCCAGATTGCATATTTAGTTCTTTATTCAGTTAATCAGTCTATACATATCAAATATTCCTCTAGGAGTAAGCTGCTGTAGGTAGATTAATGAATAAATCTCATGACCCCTGCAAATACACAATAGTTTATTTTTTAAATGATGGGTGGTTTCTGTCAAAATAAAAATGGCCATGCACTGTGTGGTACCTTATGCCATATAATTTCAATATTCAGGAGGATGAAGCATGAAGATCATGAGTTTGAAGCTAATTTGGACTATATAATAAGTCCTAGGCCAGTCTGGGCTACATAGTGAGATCATGCTTGGGAACCACAAGTCAAATCTTTATGAACTCAACAGTAGTGTTTTGTGTATACCCAAAGAGCACTATGAAAAGAAAAGCTATTTTATAAAATATTGTGTTTACCTTGAAGAAGATATCCTTGACACTTTAAAAGACCTTCTTTTAGGAACAGTATTTCATACCTTAGAGGGTGGCATTCTCTGGGTTTGTTAGAAAAAATATCAGTTTCTGCAGCAGTCTTGCTGGGAGGGACCTGGGATGAGTGAAGAGTGGATGGATGTCCTTGCCTGGCTTACTCATAAGGGGGAAGGTTCTGGCAGTTCCTTGGTAGCCTTCAATTTTTCTTTTGAGTATATATTTTTCTAATAGAAATGATTTTATAAATGGTATTTTGAGCCTCTCAAAGTAAATCTATAAGAATTTATGTAACCCAAATATAGCTTAGGTACACTACTGATAAGCTTAGAACTCTTTTTTATTTATTTTTAATTTATTTTTTTAGAAGAAGCATTTCATTACAGCTTTAACATACTCAATAACAGTTTCCAGAGCAAAGATATATCTTTCAAAAGTGGCTATAAAATTTATAGGTTCGCTGTTGAATTAATACAGTTATACAATATTTTACTCAGTATAAGCCCAGTAAGACATAAAATTGAATGAATTTTTAACCTTTAAAAAAGATCTCTATTTCATTTTAAAATATACTGTTTCTTACAGAAAGACTCATTGTTTTTGCTAGTAACACTGAGTTTAGAACTCTTAATCTCTCATCCATGGGATAAGTATTTGCTGCATCTGAACACTGTGTTAGTCCTGGTAATATTTAGCTGACAAAGACAGTATACTTTTGAAAGGTTCATAGTAGAGATCCCTATATTAATAATGAAGATTACATGATATGTGAATTATATATTAATAAATCTGTTAAATATAAAGAAGGAGAAGAAACATCATATTGTTCCTCCTGTTTGCATGGTCAATACTAAAATTATTTTACAATTTCATGTAAGTATAGAACACATGTTTGTGTAATCCATCCCCATCTCCCTTCCCTTCTGCTTCTTCCAGGCCTCCACTACCACTTCTCCCTTCCAACACCATGCCTTTACTTAACCCACTGAGTTCAATGGTGCTACCTGTGGATGTCCCTATGCCCATGCGCAGATGATAGTGCTGAATAAACTTTTAAAGTAGAAAAAGTAATGAGTCTTCATTTAGAAAACATCTGCTAAGACTTGCTGTAATTTACACGGTGCACCAAGAGTAGTCAAAGGATTATGGACTAGTGAGAGAAACAAATCAGTTAACAAAAATGAAAACGATATATTTTTTTTATAGAAATAGGAGGAGGAAGCAGAGACTCCATCTGGGTCTGCTTAAAGAACAGCCTCCAGAGTGGAGAAAAGCCTAGTGTCCCCTGATGGAATGATTTTCTGTGGAATTCCCTGTGTTACAAGAATGAAGCTTATGGCCTCAGGGACTTTTGATTAAGAACCTTAGAGTCGCTGACAAAGCAGAGAGAATATTAGACTGGTGTAAAGAAGTGGGCAAAATGGCCTGGAGAAGATTAAATGAGATACACAGCTAAGGTGCCTAATACAGTTAGCATGAAGTCCACTCAGAAAAAAGCTAACTTATTTCTAATTTTCATTGAGGTATAGCATAACATTATAGAGAAAAACAGGATAAATGCCTCTGAAAGCCAGTTCTTATTAATGAGTGACTACAGTGGAGCTAAGATGCAGGTTAGTGTTAGAAGTTGATGTAGTTTGATAAGGAAAAGGAGAACCATAAAGCCAAAGAAGAAAGAAAAATCATCCATATGCATTTTTATGTTGTCAAAAGTGGTCTGTTTATTAATTGTGGTAGTTGGTCTGCATGGCCTAGTCAACAAAAGTTTCAGTATTAGAGAAAAAATTGGATGATAACAGATCCTGAAGGTTTGGAATGTGGACACATGATTCCCTGTACTAAAAACAGCAATAGAGGTGGGAACTGATCCCACTTTTTGCGCCTCTTTCAGACTCACAAATATGATTTATGTGGTTCCCTTATGCCAGATTGTTCTAGTTTGATTTCTGTTGCTATGGTAAAACACTGATCAAAATCAATTTAGGGAAGTAAAACATTTATTTGCTTATTCTTCCAGGCCACAGTTCAGCAAGGGAAGTCATTGTAGGAGCCAGGAAGCAGTGCTGCTTGCTGGCTTGTTCTCTGGGTTCTCCCAGGCTCACACTTAGTCATCTTCAACAGAGGTACCGTCCATAGTGGGCTGGGCACTATGACATCAATTAGCAATCAAGATAATGCCCTACAGACATGTCCACAGACCAACCTAATCTAGGAAATTCCTCAATTGAGCCTCGCTCTTTGTAGGTGATTCTAGGTTGTGTCAAGTTGACAACAAAAACTAAGGACAGAGGCACTGTTCTGGTGGGTACAAAATGAAAGCTTAATTACCTTTTATAGGATAATTCTTGGAAAAAATAAACACAGAGTTCATTTTGATACGATATAGCAAGTGTTGGGCTGGAGTTACTGTTAGGGTACTACGAGAGCCCAGGATTGGGCTTTTAGACTGCCTGGGCATTTCAGGGAGCCTGTCTCTAAGAGAAGACACCCTGAAGGGTAAGTTACAGATAGAAATTACTCTGGACAAAGGAAACGGAGCAGAAAGACACAGTATGAAACCACTTCATTGACACAAGAGATGACAAGCATCTTGATAGAACCATAATATAATCAAGGATAATGAGTGAGCAGGAATGGAATTGGTGATCCATGTCATGGATACCAGTCTCAGGAACTGAATCTTGGAGAACTTAAATAGGATAATGATACAATCACTTTGAAGCTTAGCCCTGTCCCTCTGTAATAATGAGAAGCAAATTAAGGCGGGTACAATGAGATATTTAGTGGAGCAGAAACAGCAGAGCTTTTGAAATCTGGCAAAGCTGGGTTATAGTTATTTAACCTGTCTGTATATTCAGTTTTATCCTCTGCAATATGAAGATATTATTTCCTATTTTGTAGCTGTCAAAGATTTCTCTAGCACATAGAAAATTCTTCCTAAATAAAACGGCCATTGTTGTCATTATAATTTGCAGTAGTATTTGCTGCTGTGACTGGAGGAAAGGACACTAACAGGAAGCTATTTCAGTTTTCTTGATAATAGTGGGGGAGTGGAGGGCAAAGAAGAGACACAGGTATATAGAGGAACTGTGGGAAGATAAGAAACACCATATCTTTCATTCACATGAAAAAGTAGCAGAGAAAATGACTACTTAGGAAAGAATTTGTCTCTCAAGTAATTAAAAGAGGATATAAATTGCTTTAAGATTAGGAGATCCCTGAGTAACAAGAACAGGAAATAAGGGTCACAGGTTTGACTGACAAGGAACCACTTGAGGAGACCACTAAGTGGGGCTTAGTAAACACTTAAAGCAGTTATTGCCTCCATTTCGCTTTTTAATTTGCAATTTACCCCTCTTTCTCTTTGTTGAAAATGTCAAACTTTTTTTTTTTAATTTAAAGAATCCTTAAGTTTTTGCTCCTTTTTATCCTGCCTAGTTTTCCAATTGTTAGAACTATTTAGTCACCTTATGAAAGGCAAAAAGCACCCAGTCTTTTCCTGAATCACTTGTTCTTTAAAATGGCAAATGTTTCCACCTTCTCTTTTGCAATAATCCCTGAGCCTTGGAAGGCAGAGGTTTGAAATAGGTATCCTATTCAGGGATAAGTTCTCTGCATATTGGCCAATTGTGGATTTCTGTGTTAATCACCATCTGCTGCATAAGAAAACGTCTCTGGTAAGAGTTAAGACCTCATACTTTATAGCCTATATTATATACATATATGATATATATATGATGGTTCATTAAATGGAACAGGGGGCAGTAGGGGTAGGTGTGGAGAGGGGAGCAGATCTAAACGCCATCAAACTATGATAATTCCCAAAATTCAGTAAAAATGCAAAAAAAAAAATAAAATGACAGATGTAATTTGTACAATGAACAAATTAGCATATGCTATTCTGTTATTTTGGTGTGAATGCATGAATATTTGCTATATGTTTTCCACGGAACAAACTTCTTGAACATAATGACTCCAAACTATTATTTGGTTCATTCTACCTAATATGTTGATAGAACAGTAAATTCTTATTGGATGATTGTTTTGGAAACAATTGTTGCTTGTAAGAATTTTTCTCAGAAAATGTTCTATGAGTCTCACAGTCTCAGAGTCTAAGCAGATGATTCTATGAGAGCACACAATTGCTGGACTTCCCCCCAAAGACTTCTT